CTACAGGTGGGCACATACATCCAGATGATAGACTCCTCTAAGACCATCTGCATTTACATACCTGTGTGAATAAAAAAAACCATCAGTCTGCCAGCTTGATGGTTATTTCATGTCATAATACTATCAAGACTATAGATGAGGAAAGACTAGCATTTTCTTTTTAGATTTTACACAGTGTTACATATTTTGAGCTGTGCAATTTTGGACATGTCTATATGGGTATTGAGTAATGAATGCAAGAGGTAAAAAAATTGTTTCTTCTGCATTTATGAGGAAAAAAGTAATTTTGAAATATGTTGTTTATAAGCCTTAATGCATATGCCACCTTAAGACATCACATTACAGAACACCAGCATCCTGGAAGAAAGGGAATATCTCCATGCCACAGTACGGAGCTCAAGTTTTAATCTTCTTTGGAGGTCTTGCATGTAAATACAAGTAATCTCTAGAATATGCATTGTTTATTCCAGAAGAGACACTTGGTTCCATTATGTCATTGCTTGCAAGAAGAAAAAGGAAAATTAAAATCTATCATCTTGACCTGTGCAAATTTAATAGCTGAGGAGTTCATCAGCATTAGCTTAGCAGCTAACAGGGGCGAGGGCCTGCAGAAGCAAGTTGGGGAACTTCTCAGCAGGCCTCTTGTGGCAGCAGGGAAGGAGGCAGGACAGTGTGGTCTGCCTGTGTGCAGCAGGAGAGGTCCCACTGCCACACCCAGACACAGAGCCCGAGAGTGCCACACGTATGAGGCAGCTTCTGCAGGGATGGGGCTGACCAAGCCTCTCGAGGAAATCCTCTGGGGATAAAGGTGGGCATGTGCTGTTCATTAGTCAGATGTGCTGCTGATTCAGCTTCCTCCTGCTTTGAGAGGAGCCACACCTACCAACAAACGAAACCAGTTTAGGAGACGTCTGTCCAAGCTCTGGTGAGCTGCAAGGTGGTACCACTGTCATTGCAAGCCAAGAATGAGGTACCATGTGGGTAAAGAGCTGCTGGAGGCAGTGGCTAGGCTGAGTTACAACAGTGGCTAGGAGAATGACATCAATATAATAGACCTGGAATACTCTGAGGACAGCCAAACAGAAGCTGGACCACAGCAGCACCACAGGGAGGGACTGTGCCTCTCCATGGGAAGAAAATTGTGTGTGAACTTCCCTGAGAAAGAGCAGAGCCCATGTTTCCCAGCAGATGGGCAATTCATAATGACTGCTACAAGGAAGGAAGCAAGCAGGAAGTGTCTCTGCTTCTAAGACAGTGTGGGGGAACCTTTTTAGGTACCCCTCCTGAGTTCCTGGTCATCTGTTTTCTGCTACCTCAGACAGGAAAACCGGTCCAATTGAGAATCAAGATTAGCAGGTCAAAACTGAAGAGCATGTTCTGGGAACAGGGATGATACAGGCAAGATTTTCATCATGCAAGGCACAGCACACATAGGCCAGTCAAAAAGCCATATTTCCTGGACAGGAGAGCAGGGCCACACAATTGGTGTAGCTTCACTCTGGCCATCAAGCATTAGTACTGTGAACTACTGGATACCTCTGCCTTCCCTCTTTTGTACAGATCTTGCCAAACATCAGTGCCATGCTTTGGTCCTATCTCAACACATGCCTACATGGTTTACCTCTCCCCCTTATGCCCTTTACCAGGATGTCTCTTGTTTTGGATGGCTGCTCACAAAAAGTTGCTCATCTGCTTATCTTTATTGTGCTTTTTTGTCTAGGTACCCTCTCCCCAGAACAATTCTTACACCATTGTATAAAGACAAATTATCTCAATGTGAACTGGGGTATAAACAATAGAAAGGGCAAAGCTACCAAAAGAGAGTGAGACATGTCAAAGGAAGGTTTGAAAAATTCCTTGAATGGAAGGAATATGTGGTTCTTTAACACTTAAATAAGTATTAAATATATTTAACACTTAATATATGTATTGAGATTATGAGAACTACAGGGATTTGACTGAATAATTTAAGACTTTAAGATTGTTTGTGTAGAAGGGTAAAATGTTTCAGAAAGAATTGTCAGGAAAATAGAATTGTCAGGAAAAAAAGTGAAATTATACCATGATGAGAATCCACAGTCCTCGCAAAGGAAAAGAGGGAAAAGTAAAAAAAAAAATAAATACAGTGAACTTGGAAAAAGCAGACTTCTATAAAATAAGATTATTGATAAGAAGAATTTCATAAGAAATAAACCAAAGAAAAGCATTAGCAGGAATGACCAGGTCTCTCTATAAATGGAATGGATGATGTATGTCCCAAAGCAAAAGAAATATTAGGAAGTTTAGTAAGAATAAACTAAATCAGAGCTAATCTTTGCTAAATCAGAACTCATCAGTGTTCTCAGTCTCACAAAGAAGCTCAATTATGAGTAGGTTACACCACTAAACTGAGTATATAGAGTAGGCAAATACAGACAAAATCATAATTATGTCAGCACAACTATCAGTGCAATGAAGATAACATGAAAATTCATTATAAGTGCATTAGTAAGAGGTACATTGCTTCAGAGATACTTTTTGTAGGAGCCTTTCCTCAGCAGCATTGTAAAGTCTCATCTGGGAGAATATGGGGGACAGGTGATCAGCAAAGGTGGAGTGACCGAGCAGTGTACAGAGGGCATGCATGTGAGCGTGCAGATGCTGAAAGTGCCACATTGGATTAGCTATGGAAACTAAGACTGGTCATTATTTGCATTTTTTACAATCAGGGAGGTTGCAGGTGTAGGTGATTCTGCCTCATGAGAAGTACAAGTTCAATAGAAACTTAAGGGTTACTTTTCTATGCTTCTTTTTCCTTCAGCAGTACTATCTCATTTTGACACACATTAATTCTGTTCTGAAATTATCATACCCTAATAGACCCATAAAATAAATATTTTATTTAAACAGAAAGGGAAAGAATCTGAGGTCAGGTCCAGTGGGGAAGTGGAAGAGGTACATGGACAGATATCAGCTGACACGAAACCAGGAGTAACAGTGAAAAGACAAAAATAAAAATTGAAAAGGACCGAGGGAGAAATGACAAAAGTTGATAAGTGGGAAGAGTGAAAAGGACGTTACTAATGATATGAGAAGAGTTGTTTCTGGAAAAACTGACTCGTTGAACAATGATTCACACAATAAACACCTGGACGTTTGCCTTTTTTTGTTGGATTTACTCAGAGAAACAGCTGGCGCAAGGACCCAGTCTCACTGCTGAGTTTCTTCTTGTGATTTTATCTGTGGCACCATGTTATGACTGTTGTAAAGCCTTAAGTGCTTCTGGACTTTGTCATGCATTTAACAAGGGAGATTTTTTTTTTCTCCTGTGCGGCTGCAACCTGTAAGCAATTGCTCTGTGCCTGGGAAACTATTTCAGCCAGAGAAAGATACTGGGTGTGACAGGCTCACCTCTGACTTTAAGTAATGGGGACACTCAATTAGGCATACTAGGTACATTTGTGTATTTGTACTCCAAGTAATACACTGCACTTCCCAGTAACTGAACTTCCAAGCAGAGACACTAGCTCTTGAAAGACAAATGCTTGACTTGTTTATAGGGATCACACTTCTGACATCATGACTGGAGTTACTCTGCACTTGTCATGTGAAGGAGGACTAAAAATGTCATTAGGAATTTGTGTATGTGAGTTTGGTTCTCCCACAGGAAGTCTCACTGTTTTAAAATTACTACTTCATGTTGAAAGTACTGCTCATTTTTATCCAACTAGTGCACAGTTAATCTGCATTTAGGTCAATTAAAATCAGTGCATTTCAGAGAAAGTTAATTTCCCTCTCATTATATTTATTTAGAAACCATCAGCAACTTAATGCTTTATTCAGAACTGGTTTTGAGATGGACTCTAAAGATAACTCACTGCTAGCAGACAGCTTTGAGAAAGTCTGAATCATTCTGAGTGCATGAGTGAATGGAGAACACTTGTGTCTTAAAGTGTGCTGAAAGCATAGCCTAGAGGTTTTTTCCTGGAGAAACAAACACTGATTTTGAGGGAAAAGTGTGATCTGAAACACAAACAGAAGGCCCAACTTTTCCCAGAACTCTACACCTTAGAGCTGCAATCAATTCTAAACACTTTTTTATTTAGATGCATCATTCAGAAAATTATGTGTTGCACAAATAATTTGACAATGTTCAAGAGCAATCTGAAAGACTGAAGAAATTGAAAGCAGAAGTTAGAATCTGGATGAAAAGTAACATTTCTGAAGACAATAAAATAAGCCTGTCCAAAACTTCTGAAATAAGAACAATATTAAAAAGTGAGATACAAAAAGCATAACATTTTAAGAACTGCAATTAAAAAAAAAAAAAAAAAGGTATGGTTCTGTCCAAATACATTTTATTTATTATTTGTTTTACCACTGTCCTTTACAGCCCGATTGATTTCAGTTCCCTTTACTGCAGGTGTCATACTGCAGAGATGAGTTCCCTTGAAAGGCTGCAAACATAAACAGACATGAAAGATGGCACACAAGGGAAAGGAATGATTGCATCATTTATGAGATAAGTATCTGGAAAAGGGCAGACAAAGATTTGCCCAAAGATACCCCAAGTAAATTTTTAGCAGAACTCAGACAGAATTTGAGCTTTCCACTATGATTTCCACTATTATTTTCATAACTTGTCTGGGTGCTTCCAACAAAAGGATCTGCTGTGAAAACAAGTCACCTTTATGTCCAAATTCTTGTCTTCTGAATGTGAATTATTCCTGCAACTAGGCAAGTAGCAAACATGCTCTCCACCCAAGGCCCATGTCCTCTCCTCTCTACATGCCCTCTTACAGAAAGGCTGTCTTTCACCTGTGGCCCTGCATCCTCTTTTCTCACAGCCTGAAAAAAAATTAAATCATTAGGAAAATCATAAAGGATGTAAAAATACTGAAGGCTGTAAATTACCTTGGAGCTACCTTGCCTCCTTACAGGGCTGCTGTTTCATACCACACCTAGTCATTAGAATCAATAATTTTCCATGCAGTTAATGTTTGAGCTACTGAACCTCTGAGGGCAAGTCTGAGGAACTATAAACTGGATAAGCACAGACAGACATCACCAACCTGTGCAAAGGTGATTCCCACAGCTGAAAGAAAGAAGCATTTTTAGAGCAAAATAAGCTTTTCATGTTACAGGTAAGGGATAATCTAACTGACATTTCTCAGAAAGATTTTAAAAGCTGAAGCGGTGGTTTTGCTAAGGGATTTTCAGTCAGTGTTAGGAACTCAGCTGTCCCTGTAAAATGGATGACTGCTGTGCTACAGCTTAGTCTGGTTTATATTTGATTTGGATCAATTTCCTCTGTTTTCTCTTTGCTGAATTTGAACATCTGAAATCAATCAACTAAAGAAAATAATATTTTTTCCGTAGAACCAAATACTTGTGATTGTTACTGATCTTTAATCTCCAGGAATATTCTTTGTTCTCTGAATGTTTATTATTGAAAGTCACTGGAATATTTGTACAATGGTTATCCTAGAGATTTCTCTTCAGTCATGGGAAGTGTGGGGGATTATTAGGGATATAGCACTGAGGTGAAGCTAAGAAATGAAAGAGAAAATATGGCTCCTGTCCTCAGCCAGATCTCAAGCTGCTTTTACTTAAGATGATGCTATTCTAATCCTGAAATTGCTGGTTATTGAAAACTTTTATATGACTCTATATATACTGAGTCTTCTGAGTGACAGAGGAGTATGGATTTTGGGGCTTCGGTCCTTGGCAGTGAGATGGCTCATGAGACTTGGTAAAAATTTCCACCCCAAATGTTCAAGGACTGACCAAGACTTGAAATGGGCACCATAAATGGCATGACATAAGGAAATGATGTTTATGTTCAAAGAGAAGGGAATATCAAATGTGCTTGTCATGCAAACTGTGAAATGGCTGCATTTCCACTGCTTCATTTGGTAGCTGGATCTGGACAGGAGAACTTGGCCATGACACAGCCACATTTAGCTATTAATTTTCCAGAATTTTCTGTCCCCAAAAGTAAGGCTGGGTGTGTCCCTGAAACTTTCTCCTCTTCCATGGTAGGTCTTGCTCCTTCTCTTTTCCCAGAATCCAGACCTACCCATATGGTTTTTCTTTCCTTTTGATGGCCTCCCCCAGTACTTTTAGCTCCCTGGTGTTCCTCCACCGCTGGCTGGCAAAGGGGCACCTCCAGCCGTGCCTCCTCCAGAGGGACAGGCATTACCCTGCAGGGAGCCCTTGGGCACAGACTGCAGCCTTACAGGGTGGAGAGGGAACACCTTGGGTACTCTGCCCTGCATTCTGCCCCAAATTAATAAGGAATGAGTTTTTTGAAGTTCCCACATGGCTGCTAAATGCAGCTGGAACTGGCCAACATACTCAGAAGAGAGAGGCAGGAGGGGAAGGGAGAAGTTGTACAGGTAGAGGAACTGAAAGAATTTTCATTCACTGTATAACCAGAATATCAGCATCAGTTTTGGTTCAAAGTGTCCTTCTAGGAGGTTCAAAGTGTCTTCTCCTTCTCTCTGCCCTGCCTGTGCCACCTCTCCTGGCTTCAGGAGGTTTGTGAAGGACTCACAAGCCAAGCATCTACAGGGGGCTCAATTTCAGCCCTTCAGAGTCCTGACAAATTTAATAATTTTCCTGCTCACTTCTGATTTCAAAAGCGTGTCATATTATTTTCTTCCAGTACCCACACAGTTATCTCCAGCCCAAGGAAAAGCCCAGTACTTTCAAAGGGTGTAATTGTACACACAGTATAATCCAGCTCAGACTGGGATTTGGACAATAAAGTCCTGTGTCACGTCCTAGAATGAGTGCTGGAGAGAACAGCAGTGTGGGTAGCAGTTTCTATACTTACAAGTCCCCTTTTTGTTCAGCAATTGAGGAAAGAAAAGGGGGAGGGGGGTGGAATGGTATGGTGGGAAGCACAAGGGGGAAGGCATCTGGAGGGAGCTGTGCCTCCACATTGTGTTCTCCCCACTGGGGGTCTCCATGGGACAGAGCTGTGGAAGGATTCCTGTAGGTGTGAGCCATATAACATGAAGCACCACTGAAAATGGCAGCACAATACTCCAGCTTCACCTCTTTCCATAACTGGCCTCATCCCCTGTGTTAAAATCTAGAAGCAGGGAAGAAGTAGGATTGAATTTTGAGAATGCCATCTAGTTCTCAGGAGAATGTAACATAAATTGTGGAAGTGTGTGGTCAACATTTCTTTGAACTTTGAGGCAGAGAGTGCTCCTTGGACTTGGGAATTTTGCTTCCAGTAGCCATGTTGCTTTAGGGGGTGCAGACGCCTTAGGCTTCCTTTGCCTCTGCGCTGTGCAGGAAGCAGTTATGTTTTTGGAACCAGAAGACAGACAATTCAGGATGGTCTCTGTGAAACTTTTGTCCTGTGGTGATAGCATTTCCTGTGAATGTCTCATTGCTTTCAGTAAAGCAGAAATGAAAATGGGTTTGTGGTACAGAATTGTTGTAACAATGTGATTGTACGGCTTGAATTTTTGTGCCGGGCTCAATCTTTGACAGCTCTCTGGGGCTCTCACATGTTGCATCTCTTGTACCATTAGGAACAACCTGCTGGGCACAGCCTTCCTTGGCAGCCCAGGGGCACCAGTGGTCTCACCTCTCGTGGGCAGAGCTGCACCTGCTCCCTTGGGGCTCACTCCTCCATCTCTCTCCCTGCAACTTCAGGAAAACTCAGCTGTTGCCTTAGTTTGCAAATAGACTGGGCCAAGTCTATGGGGCTGAAGTGACTGTCATCTCTTTGCAGGAGCTGAAGCAAAGCATATTCCAGTATGCTTAAGCTGTGTGGACTCCAATTTCTGCTTCTCATTCAGTCGGTGAGTTACAGGTTTTCTTTGTTTATCTGTGAGCAAACAGCAAAGGTTGCCTGCGAGCCTCAGAGCTCGGATCCATGGGGTGTGCCAGCCTGCACTGGTGCCAGCAGACTGCCTGTAACTCTGGGGGTGGGAGTGTGTCCCCAGCACACTCGTGTTACCCCACAGCAAGTTAGGAAGACATCTCAGTCATTAGGAAAAAAACCTTCAAAAAACCTAGAAGACACCAATTTACTTGTTTTGCCTCTTCTACTTCCTCTTTAGATATCACTGTTTCCAGTACGTGAATTTCATGCTAGAAAAGATTTAAACATACTACAACAAATCACCAAAGAGTGAAAACGTCAGTATCATGTGTTCTGCATTATAATCCATACATGTGCTGACATATTAAATGTATTCTAAGACATATAATGGCTCATTGTTTAAACTGCACATATTAATTTTGTATCCTCATTATTTGGTTCCTGTGAATCCCTTCTCAGAGGATTTTCTGGAGCTGAAGTGCATTAATTATGCTCTTTATGGACCTCATGTATTAAATTCAGTAGGTTTACTGATGTTTGTAAAGGCTGCAGCAATGGTGACTTCTACTTCACAACTGAAATTAACAGAAAAGTTTGAAAAAAATGCATCAAATTCAAGTTCAGTAAAAAATACCTCAGAATATGGAGACCTTGAGGGGTAGCATAGCGAGCACCTCCTTTTCCCTTCCCATTTCACAAGCTGCTGCTTGTGGTAGTGCTGGACCCCCAATGAACTCACTCTGCAGGCATTATAGCCGTCTTCAGAAGAGATGCCAATGGATATGGACCAAGAGGTAAATCCTCTTTCCCCTTCAGGCTCCTGAGCAGTGAGTGATTCATGCTGCAGAAATACGTTTGGAAATATTTATGGTCCACATAAAGTAATTTTAATCAACTGAAGTGATATCGCCTACTTGCTTCATAGGCTGCACTTTGAACTTGTTGGGTTTTATAGCAGCAGCCTTTGTTCCTCCATGGCGGGGAACATGATAAAGTAAAATCTGTCCACCAAATGGCCCTGGGAAAAGGCTCCAGGAGCCAGGCTGTGCCAGCCTGTGTGACGTGGGAACAACCATAGCAGGTCAGATTCAGGGTCCTCACATCTGGTCCCAGGCAGAGGCCAGCAGTCAGCATTTTGCAAAAAATATTAAAAGGTAGCTGCAAAGTGCAATTTCCTGGATGCATAACTATCTGATTGCATTTGTTGATATTCTTCTCTTGACACTATTTTCCAGTAGCATCCCTCGCTCTCCTTCCACAGCTCTCTGCTCTTCTTGTTTTCAAAAGGAGTCACAAAGCCTTGTAGGCAAGTGGGACATCATCTCTGGCTATTATTAACAACAATATGGAATTATTGAAACACTAGTTGTGACACACACACACAGAGCAGTGCTTTAGGGTGAATTGTACTGAACTTAGCTATGTTTTTGTCATAGGCAGAATTAAGCTTTCCCTTGGTAATATGCAGACTGTGCTTTTCTGCGAGAAATTGAATAGCTGTCCCAGCAGCAATAGGATCAAATCCAGAGGAAAAGTCATGCAGCAGAGAACACACACTCAGCTCTGGTGTGATGGACAGGGTGGTAATGGTACTCTAAATCTGTAAAGACAAAATAAATTAATTTTTACTGTGGAAGAAAAGAAACTTTACCTGTGCAGCCAAATAATGGAGCCCTAATTCTGACAGGCAGATCCTCAGTGTTGTCAAGATAGGTGGTGAAGAGAGGAATTTGGGGAAGCTTGGTCTTGCCTTTGAAGAAACAGGTTGATTATCTGAACCACAGTGTGAATTGTTTTGTGTGCAAGGCCTGCCCTGAGAAGCTAATTTTTGCTTTGGTTTTTTTTTTTTTGTTTTTTTGTTTTTTTTGTTTGTTTGTTTGGAAGCAAGAACAGGGCAGGAGAATGGAGGGCTTTGGGCACTGGGGAGTGTGTGGTTATAAAACTCATAAAAATTTGGCAGAAAAAGCATGATGTTAAGACATTGCTAGCCATTAGGAAGAAAACAGAGCCTGAGACAAATTTGTATGACATTTTTGCCATCAGGTAAAAGCCAAAGATCTGAGGGACATGCTTATTCTCTCTGTGGTTTGCATTCACACAGAATTAATGTGAAGGCACAGGGCTCAAGTGGCTTGCCCAGATAGCTGTGGCACTGAGGGACCCAGGGAGGGCCACCTCATTCCCATATAGAAAATATTTGATTCACTGGGGAAATTACAAAGGGTTCAGCCACTGCTCCTCCCCATCCCCAGGTGTGATGCTGGGTTTCCAGACTCTTGTCTTCACAGGGCTTTGGGCCTCTGGATGAGTCGTGGATGGTCCCGCTGGGGTCACAGGGGAGATCCAGCCATGATTTCATAAATTCCCTTTTGCTCTCAGTCTACATCCACCTATTTTCTTCTTCTGTTTGCTCTTGAAGGTAGATCCAATCTCATTTAATTATGTAGTGGCAAAAAAGGGCAGGGCACAAGCCTTTGTTCTCAAATTAATGAATAAATCGTACTTCTTAAAAAAATTATGTGCACTAAAGAACCTGGAGATGTTCAGTGCAAGCCTGGAAGAGTCTCTGCCATTATAGTATAGCAAAATATCTTGCAGGAGGCTCCGTGGAGGGGAGCTGCTGTCTCTGTGTGGTAGCAGCAGACACCCCTCAGCTGCTTTCCTCCATCCCTCTCTCTGTCTCTCTTCCCCACAGGCTATGTGGCTTAATCTGGAGGGCCTGCGTGTAAGTGGGCCTCTGAAAGACATGGACTTCTTTGTCCAAGAAGGAGGGGGTCCACGCATCCTTCACCAGGTAATCAAGTGTCTTTTCTCATCCACTCTGGTCAAAAACCCCATAGCCTGCATGCAGGGACCACATATGAAGTGTTGTCTCTGTGCTGGTGGGAAGAACAGTCCCTCAGGAGGATTCAAAATTAATTTTTAATTCCTCTCTCTGGGAATTCAAGGGTCTACATGCAAAGAGCAGTGAGACAACCCCCTCTCAAACACATTTTTAAGAAGATATCCTAAGACGGGGATTAATAAAAACAGCATTCCTGGAGAATTTCTTTCCATGTAACTTGTGTCATCATTTTCCTTTGACTCTGAGGTTTTCCTCCCAAAGCCATAACCACAGAAGGACAGATCCAGCTCCCAGGCAAACGGAGGATGTGTGTCATTTTTTTCCATTCCTGTGCTCAGACAAAGCCTGCCCTAAGCAGACGTTTGCTTTGGAAACAAACTGCAGTTGGGATTTCTTGCAGCATTCAGGAAATAACGTGAAAACCCCTCTGCTGAGGATCAGAAAAGAGCAGACTTGTTTGAACAGACCCTTGGAATATCTTGGAATATCCTTCTCCCAGCCAAACACACTGTTGGCAATAGATTTAAAAAGTCACAAAAGCATGAAATTATTTTATTATGGTGAAAATGATGAAATAATGACGATTTGTCCCTGGTTTTTTTACCATTGTAGTTCACACTTGAGCCACCTGCTGTGAGTTTCAGAATGTCTGGTGAAAAAGCTGGAATTATTGACATTGAGCCAAGGACAGGCATCCTGTACATCAACGGGTCTCTGGACTGGGAGACCAAACAAGTGCACAAGCTGCAGGTAAAAATTCAGTGAAAAACAGGAAGGGAGAAGTCTTCACATTCACCCTCTTTTGGTAGACCTGATATTGAGAGAAATCTGTTGAAATTTTGAATCCTTTACTTTGCCTATGTTTACAGGCAGGTTTTTCATTTTTGATATCAAGATTTGCTGGAAGACATATCACAGCAGTGGAAGGCTATGTTGAGAAAACAAAAATTGTGATGCCAACACCAGCGTTTAACTCTCCTAATATGAGGGGAATACTTGACTGGAATTAAAATCTAGCCTCACAGATGAGCTTCTCTTGCTATCCCTGAAGACTGATAGGGTGAATTCTATGTCTGGAGTGGAAAAATAAAGTATTGTAATAATTTAGAAAGCTTATGATATACATGGTGACAAACTGAGATGAGCTCAGTTGGTTAGAGTATGGTGCTAATAATGCCAAGGTTTGGTCCCTATATAAGTCATTCACTTCAAGGTTGGACTTGATGATCCTTGTGGGTCACTTCCAACTCAGAATATTCTGTGACTCTGTGGAGCAGTGTGAGTAAAAGACATTTAGGCAGAGAGGCACAGATCTAACCTCTGTCAGATAACAGCAGAAAGCTATTTGGCAGATGTTGGACTCTAAGAGAAGAAGCAGCTTTGTGTGCTTGTCCTGCCATTATTCCCTTTTCACGAGGATCTCACGAGTGTAAACACCACTGAGAATGGAGCAGTGGATAGGCAGTCTTTGGGTTTCAGTATAGCCATGTCCTCTTAAACTATGTCCAAAATGGTGTTGTCTTTTTCTGAGGCACTAGCAGCTGAGAAAGAGATGATCATGAGAGGATCAGTATCTGAACAGACAAAGTACATGATGATTTTTCAGCCAGCCTTAGCAGTCTATCTAAAGTCTAGCACTTCAGGTTTCATGATTTCACATTCTCAGCTCTAAAGCACCCTTGGATTGGAATTAGGGCAATTTTCTAGCCCCAGAAGTTAATAGCCCTAAGCCTGTGAATCATTTATAGACAAAAAGTGATGACAGAATGAAAAAATTATGCCTGTTTAGACATAAATAATCGTGATTTTATCTATTATGTGCAAATAAAATGAAGTGTGACAGATATAATATATACTTCATGCTTTAAAATTAAAAAGGCTAAAAAATAAGTCAAATTGTTTGAAAAAAAAGTCATTAGAATTAAGAATTAATTTTTCTTTACTAACCGTTCTATCAGACTATTTTTCTGGTTTATATTTATAATAGCAATTGGTTATAAATGCTATATCAGGTTGGATTTTCTCCTTGTGTGCTAGAAAATATATATTGCTGTTTAAGGAAAAACATGAATTCTAAGCTGTGCAAAACTACAAGTAGTCTGCTGAAACTGGAAGTGGGAAATTGTCCTCTGAAAGATATCATGGGAAGCAGAAGTGGGTTATTTTGTTAATTTGCATTATATACTGTTGCAAATTTTGTCAGGGAGGTACAGTGGCAAATTTGTCCTTGTATGTGGACCTACCCAGTGATGGCTCCCACCAGATTTGCATGACAGTAAGAGTGACCTGCCATCTGATATCCTGATATTAATTTATGACTTTTAACCTGAAAATATTAGCATGAAAATATTTCTTTGCTGTTTGTTCTTTTTTCAAATCAGGTGGAAAGTCTGGATGAAAGTGGAAGCAAAGTTAAAGGTCCATATTCTGTTACAATACATGTGGAGGATATCAATGACAACCCACCAGAGTTTGACCAGAAAAGGTACTTTGGAATAGTGAGGCAGAACTCTCGTCCAGGTAATTGCCACCATAATTAAATATTAACATTAACAGGAAGGTAGGTAAATTAAGCAGGAAGGTAAAGTGGTTGCTGTACAAGCTGGAAAAAGATCAGTTTTTCTTCCCACAGGACTGTACAAAATAAGGATGAAAGCTGCTATAATATAATGAAAGGGCAAAAAGAGGTGACTGCTATGCGGTGTGAAGGGATGAGTGCAGTTGGAAATATTTTTTAGTACTTATTCTTTGCAAGTATCACTTAGCATGCAAATATTGCTGCTCTATCCATTGCTCTGAAAAAAAAACCCAAAAAACCCCCTTATGCTAGAATGGGGTTGAAATTTAATTTAAATTTTAAATTAAATTCAAATTTTAAATTTAGCTTAATTCTAAACTTAATTAAATTTTAAATTTAAATTTTAAATTTAAAGGCTACCAAAGACTAAACAGAAAGAGAATGCTATGACTAAGTGAAATCTTTACATATCAGTGAAAGAAATTGCCAGGGTAGATATGGAGTATGTGCTTACCATGATGCTTCTCAGAACATGGGTTGAACCTAGGATTTAGAAGAGAGTCTTAGAGTATTGATTGCAGTGATCCAGTCCAAGAGTCATGAAGGTATCAAAGAGCAGTTTGAGACTTACATCTTGGAAATGAAACAAAGGACTCATGCAGCTGCTACTGCTGTGACTATGGACTCAAGAAGAAACTTTTGCTAAAGAATATGCATATAAACCTCCATGGGGTCAGAAAAGCCTTCTGAAACATATTACTGTATTCTTAACTTCATCCAAGTCAAAAAGATTTTGAATGTTGCACAGGTGCACAAAAGATAAAAGCTGAGTTACATTACTGTGTACTTTTCTTTTTCACTGTATGATTGTTTTTTATGATTGTTTTTTATTTTATCTGTGTCTTAGGCCATACACCACTTTTATCAAGGTGCTTTGGGGTTAACTGATTTGTGTAAGAACTGCAAAGTGGCCTTAAGGAAAGATTCCAGTGAACTGAATTCTAGGTTCAGGCACTCTTGTGTGATAGATAGCTCTCTGCTGATACAACTCTGTCACCTTCTTCATCGGCTGGTCACCACAGCTATAGTGATGCTACTGAGCAGAGCTGGTGAAGGGTTGACCTGTGGGATGGCATACAGCAGTGTAACCTCTGCACTTGGCTTCCAATGAGAGATGCATTATGGAGCAACCATATGGAGCTGATGGTAGCTCCCCATAAGTTGCTTTCCTGGTTTGGGAGCTCTGCTCCAATGGATTATGTGTTGAGTTCAGTCTCCTCTCTTACCACTGTTTCTTCTCCAATCCAAACAGGCAAGCCCTTCATGTATGTCCATGCCACTGACCGTGATGATCCCACAACTCCCCATGCTCAGCTGTCATACAGCATTCTCCACCATTTTCCCAACCCATATAAAGAAATGCTTTTCCAGATTGATAATGCAACTGGAGCAATCTCACCAAGCAGGACAGGTATGTAAAAATACTCGTTTGCAAAGAGCAAGCACAAGTTCTGGCATGTGCATAGGAAAAAAACAACAACACAGGTCTGATGCCACACTGAATAAATGCAGTTTAGTGGGACACTAAAGCCCTGGGTTTGGGGAACTTGTTTTCTGTCCCACCAAATTCAGGGGAAGCTAGCAGAAATGGAGATTGAGATCTAAAAGTATACTGAGAAGAGAGATAGATCCTCCAGCCTTCGGGACTACACTGTGTCATATCTTGTGATTAATTCTCTGCCTTGAAATCTAGAAACCCAAAAGCAGTAACATGAAAAATATTTCTGAAAATGCAGAGAAAGCTCAGTGGGACATGCGATCCCAACTAAATTGCAATGATTTAGAAACACCCATCTATTCTGCTGGGCTGAACAAGGGCCTAACTGGGGTGAGGGCTATTCAGTGATGCATCTGCACAAAATGAGACCACAGCAGAGAGGCCTCATATGATTCCATCCACATGATGCTATGCTGCATTGTTCAGAGAACTCAGAGGAAGTGGCTTGCTAAGGTTTGTCCCAAAGGACCATCTAAGGAGTAAGTCTGAAGCAGCTAAAGAACCATAGTGTATGTAGAAGGCAACAGGCAGACGAGCAGCCCCCACAGCCTCTATGTCACTTCTCATGACTCTTTGCTCTGTCTCTAGGCTCTTATTACTTGGATCCTCAAAAGCAGGCCATCTTCACACTTGTTGTCTCAGTGAAGGACATGGCAGGGACAACAATAAATGCTTTCACCAGCAGTGTTGATGTAATCATCACTGTGATGGAGAGCCTGTGGAAAGCTCCTCCCATCATCCACATCAAAGAAAACTCAACCCAGGTCCACCCTGTCAACATCAGCAAGGTAGGGTCCTTGACCACGCTCCCTGAACTTCTCCTTGTACCACACAATTGTTTCCTCACAGCTAACTGTGAAGATGTTCCCACTGCATCCAACACCAGGTTTTTCAGAAGGACTTTGACACCCCCCCAGCTATTTTTTTAATATGGCATCCTTTGGAAATGATTGTTAGTGGAGTTCTCATTGACTTTTTGTTAGCATGAAAGTTAATAGTTTGAAGGTGATGAGATACAGTCAATGCAAACACTAGAGTGACTGGACTTTGCCTTTCAGTTTGGGAGCAAAATCCAGTCATGGGTCCTCCAGGCTTTGAGCAGACCAAGAGTTTTTTGGAGCTTGTTTTGAGGTTAGCTTCTTCCATCTGCAGAAGAGCAGGACAGGGGACCAGCTCCACAACAGTCCTGCTGTGGGCAGTACTCCACCCTCAGGGGCCCCTACTGTGACCAGTTTTGTATCACCCAGCACAACCGATACATAAAAAATACCTAGAAAGGACTGAAATACCCTCCTTTGCATCCTGCATTCTCACAGTATTCCTCTTTTCACAGTTCAAGCACAAAATATTTTGCTGATAACTGCAGACCAATAGCAGTGTATACACCATTACATATTAACTAATAGGGCAACAGCCTTTCAGAAATATTTGTCTTTGAAAAATGCCTTGGCAATGACATCCCCAGTGCTGTCATCCCTTAAACATGGCAGGATTCCATGGATGCTGCTCACAAGAGTTACTGGCTTGGTGCTTTTACCACTGGCCTCAGTGACAGCCCAAGGAAGTCCAGAATGAAAACAGATAGAAAGAAGGCTAACATGTAAGGGCACACACATTTTGGGGTCACCTGTATATAAATTTCATGTGGTAGCCAATGGCATGTTGATTCTGTCTAGGGGAAAATGAAATGCAGTTGCTGCTGTACAGAACATGAATGTTAACACTGACTCCATTAATTTGCCAGTCTGTGTACTTAATTTCATTTTAAATGTGTGGCACCCCAGAAAAGAGCCTTCCTCATAAACTTTGAAGAATGTAAAGAATGTACACACACCTATTTACAGACAGGTACCAGGTATTTGTTTTCACAGAATCACAGAATCACAGGATATGCTGTGTTGGAAGAGACCCATCAGGATCATTGGGTACAACTCCTGGCCCTGTGCAGGACAATCCAAGAGTCACACCATGTGCCTTGAGACCATTGTCCAAATGTTTCTTGAACTTGTGAGGGATTGGTACTGTGACCACTTCCCTGGGAAGCCTGTTCCAGTGCCCAGCAGCCCTTTTCTTGATATCTTGGACCTCCCCCAGCTGAGTTTCCTCAAGTCATGCCCCTGGTCATGAAAGTGAAGGGATCAGTGCCTGTTCCTCTGCCTCCCCTCATGAGGATGTTGAGGTTTCCCCTCAGTCTCTTCCAGACTGAGCAAATAAAGTGTCCTCAACTGCTCCTACTAAGGCTTCCCCTCCGAACCCTTCACCATCCTTGTAGCCCTCCTTCAGATGCTCTCAAATAGCATAATGTGTTTTTTATGTTGTGGTGCCCAAAACTGTCCCCAGCACTGGAGGTGAGGCTGCCCCAGTGCAGAGCAGAGTGGGACAATCCCCTCCCTTGTCCAGCTGGCCGTGCTGTGACTCCCTGGACAGGATTGGCCCTCCTGGCTGCCAGGACACTGCTGACTCATGTTCAACCTGCCATTGACCAGGACCCCCAGGTCCTTTCTCTGGAGCTGCTCTCCAGCCTCTCATTCCCCAGCCTATACATACAACCAGGGTTGCTCCATCCCAGGTGCAGAATCTGTCACTTGCTTTTGTTTAACTTCATACAGAAGGTATTCAAATGCAAATAATGATTTTTTTTTCTCATAATCACTATTTATCTCCATATCACAAGACGCTTTTATAGAAAGATAAGTGTTGTAGGCCATCTGGACACATCTGGTGGAGAAACAGAGGTAAAGTGGCTTCACCACAAAATTCAGAGAGCAGAGGTGGATTATCAGCCTGATTTTCTGCAGTTCATCCTGAGAGCCTGCCAAACTGTTAATTTTCTGGTTTATTAAGCTAACAGAAATGCGATTACTTCTGTTTCTGTGATCCAGAAATGATCCCTGTTAAATCTCAGTCTACACTTCTGACTTCCTATCCGGACTTATTTTTGTTTTGTTTTGTTTTGTTTTTTTAGGTGTGGTCAAATGAACCAGATGTAATTTATGACATTTTTGAAAAAGAAAAGCTCCCAAGGCTCCCATTTTCCATCAGTAAGAATGGGGATATTTATGTGACTGAACCATTGGACAGGGAAGAAAAGGATACTGTAAGTAAACACATAAAATTTCACTGATGGCAGAGATTACAGCAGGAAGATAATTATTGGTGTGGGAATAAATATGAAAAAGCTCAATAGAAAGGAAGGGGAACGGGGAAGGTGAGAATAGATAAAAAGGAGGGAGAATAGATAAAAACTTTTTTTCTTGTCACTTTTGTTTGGAAATGATGTGATATATATGAAAGTTCATCCACCTACCACACTGTAAATATCCTTCAGGTTCTTAACCTAGAGTGGGTCTGGCAGTAGGTAGCAATCACTGCCCACAGCACATGAACAGTATGGACCAGCTATGGCAGGGCTGTAGGTGCATGAGTAAGAGGTAGGTGGTGGGAAGTGTGGAGTGCAGGAGATCTGGAGGTTTCAGATCTACTTTAGACCTTGGGGACCACAGATTTTTAAATCTTTTGAGAACTCAGACCTCAGAAACTAAGAGGTGATGGAATAGTTCTGATTTAAACAGAGAGAAAATACAGAACAAACTCATGAGAGGATATTTCATATTCCCATAATTACATACTAAAATTCAAAATACTGTCACAATGGACATTTAAACCATCTAATTGTTATATATTTGTTGCAGTATACATTCTTTGTGGTGACAAAAGATAACACGGGAGAGCTGGTGGACAAGCCTTTGCAAATCCACGTTATTGTGGATGACATCAATGACAACCCCCCTGTGTGCCAGAAGCCTCTCACCATAATTGAAGTTCAAGAAAATGAAATGGGAGGTAAGAAAAGAACTTCTGTTAATTTATACACCTCATTGTAGCCCTGTTGTTTCTAGCTGTGTGTGAATGAAGCTAGAAGTTCTGATCCCAAAGACTGAAGCGTGGCTTTCCCAGGGAGATATTTCCCTGTGCAAGTAGCCCTCCTGTTTTCCCTTCAATAATTCTTGTGGAAAGGATTTCAGGAACCTGAGAAGGACAGACTCAAAACACCTACTTTAAAGATGCTGTTTTATTTAAATACATATAAAACTGCATTTTCCCACAACCACAGATTAGGCTGTGTAAAGAAAAGCACCTCTTTTATTACCAATACAAGAAATACTGTTCTTAAAGCAGTATGAGCCCATTCTCCCTCATCCAGCTGCTCCTCCAGCATAATGCCTTTGACTTCAATGGACCATTAGCAAAATCTGTCCAATGTCTTGACATCAGTTATTTGGTTTCAGGACTGAAGAGTCTGCTCTTAGAGTCTTTTGGACTGCCCTGACCCAAACCAGTTTGTCGGGATGCTAAAGGACAAACTCCCAGAAGTGAAATGATTGTGTCCATTGAAGTGTTTTCCATGCAGCTTTATTTTTACTGACCCTCTACTCTTTGCACTGGTACCACTGTTGTCTCTGTGTACTTCTGTGGAGAAACAGGACCACTGTTTTAACAGTGACCACTGCATTATCTGTCTGACTCCAATCTCTACTCTGCTACAGGAAGTAACATTGGCACCGTGCTTGCCACAGACATGGATAAGGAGGACACCCTTAACTCTCGTCTGCGGTTCCAAATTCAAAGTCAGGAACCTGAATTTCCTGAAAAGAATCTCTTCTATATCCAGAAAGACACTGGGATTTTGCAATTAACTGGCCGTTCCTTACGCAAGCGTGAATCAGCCAAGTATTTCTTGAAGGTCCTGGTGACAGATTCAAGTATGTAATACTTGTTATACATTGTATATGTGCTGTTATACATTGGAATAACTCTGTTCGCACTGGCATGACTTGTGTTCAGTGTCTAAGGGATGTGGGGAGACAAGGAGAGTTTGCTGAACAGGCAGTAGCACTGAGAGCTGCCTTGCTGTGGCATGGTACTTGCCCTGCTCTTGAGATGCAGGGAGATTAATCATGATTCATAATGAAAGCATGGAAGGGAACCAGCTCTAGGACAGAGTCTGGCTAAATTGGGAAGCTTGTTAACAAGTACTTCAGTAAGAGATTTCCTTCCATAGGGGGAAAAAATGAAGAGATCGTGATTGTGGTTTTCCCCCAGATCTTTCAAAGGGATTTAACTGAAAAAAAAATCAAGAAATTAAACACAGCTGCTCAGACAGTTCAGATAATATTTTAAAACGTTAAGAGAAAATTAGGCTGAAATTAAACTTCAAAAATAATCTTGTCCCTTATGTAAATTTCCAGGAATCCTTTGTGATTTAATGAAGGGGAAGGAAATCAAACTCCATATCAAAGCTTAAATATTTTTGCTGCAGTCCCTACAGTCAGGCAAAACTTGTGCATGAAGGAACTGGAATGTAAAGAAAGTAAGGAAAATTGTCATGTCTGTAAATGAAATGCCATCATTTTGGCAGATGATGGAAAACTTTCCAGAGGGAGAAGCTGGTGATTTGTTTTGGATGCTTATTTGAATTCCATCCAAATAATGTTGTTTACAATTTTCCTTAACTTCCAGCTCATGAAGCTCATAAATCACTAAAATCCATCTATATATGGATATATTATGCTCTTAAAATCACAACTTGCCATTGCTATGGGTGCCCCTGCACAGGTAGTGATTAGATTTACATGGATCTGAAGTTTAAATCTGGCAGTAACAAAACTGAGGGTGCTGCCTGCTGACCAAGAGGACAAGGGAGCATTAACAACCCAGGGCTTACTTTTTGATATGGAAAAGTGATACTGTAATGGCTAACACAATTCATAGTTACCATCATCCTGGTAAGCAGATATGGCTTTAAAAGGTGAGGGAAAGGAAACAGGATGGGACAGTGCTGAAGAAATTGGGAAGATCAGTGGTAAGATAGAGAATGAGGCTGTCATTGACCAAGAGGTATCTGAGATAAGTGCTTCTCTCCACTTAGTGCTTAGATTGGGCAATCTGGCAGTGTTCACTTTTGCTCACAGTGAACTCTTCTGGAGGACAGTTATTTTCGGCAGAAAGGCTGGTGTGACACTTTGTTTTTATCTTCCCATGCAGAATATGAAACAATCTGTGATGTGGAAGTACATGTCATCGACATCAACGATCAAATTCCCATCTTTGAAAAATCAGATGTGAGTATTTTTAACACCATTTTGGATGTTCCAATAACTTTTGACAAGTATTTGAGCATATTTTCAATGTCTATAGAATATCCATGGGAAACTAGCCATTTACAAAACAAGTAACAGTGTAACCCACTAGTGAAAATAAAGGCAAAGTATTGCTGAAAGTCTGCATATAAGCTGTATCTAGACAGTGAAAATGGGATGGACTAACAGCTAACTATGAAATTAAAGGTAATTTTCTCAGTGGAAAACTGCATGTACGGAAAGAAATTGTTATATTAAAGCAGTTTATTCCAGAAATGTAAGTTCTGAAGGGAAAAGAGGAAAAAAAGGCTTTAAACTTAATCAAACAGCTAAATGGAAATAAGCTGGCATCTCCCAAAATACAGAACTAGTATACCCAAAACAGCCAGAAGGTGAATGGGAATCAAAAGCCCTGTGTGGTTTGGCCAGAAACAGTGGTCCAATGATGCAAGCCCAAACACATACCTGGTTCCAGGATGGGTGTCTTGCCTTTTCTCTGGTGGAGGTCCTGGCGTCTGGCAGAGACCTGCAGACATTTTGTGACTTCTATCTGATGGCCCAAGCCTCCTGGCAGACACTGGAGCAGCTGGAGAGTTGTCCCAGCTCCCACCATCCTGGCAGGCCATGGAGGTGGTGGGCTCAGGAGAGCTGTCTGACCTAGCAGGCATAGTTGTCCTTTCAGGGAAGCTGTGTTGGTTTTGGGTCTTGCAGACCTCATTGCCCAGCTCTCTGTTGATGGTGATGGCAGCACAGCCACATGCAGACCAGGTGTCTGCATGGCAGGTTTTACACCATCTCACCTCAAGGTCTAAGTCCAGGACCTGACCTCAGGGTGAGGCTTCTGGGCAAGGGCACACATTAAAGAGCCAGAAGAGCTGGGATGCCAATGTGGCAACAGGCTAGGGTGCATGAAACAATCAAATATTTAACAATGAGTGGCCAGGGTGCTCACAGGGTACAGAGAAGCTGTGCTATCCCTGCTGCGTGATCATGGACTGGTTTTGACAGAGGAGCCAAAAGTCTGGGACTGGTGCTGTGCTAGTGGCACTTACATAGCTCCCATCACCTACAATAAATCTGTGGCTAAAATATTCCCTCCTTCATGTGGCTGCTGTGGGTTAAAATACATACATGCATGTGGGTTGCAAGCTTGTGGTTGTGCTGAAGTTTTTATCCACAAATGGTGCTTGGTATGTCACATTTCAATGACACCTGTCTCTCCTCAGTATGACAGTGTGACCATGGCAGAAAATATGCCAATAGGAACTGTGATATTAGAAATTCAAGCTACTGATGGAGATGAGCCTGACACAGGGAGCTCTCTCATCATTTACCAAGTGAAGGAAGGTGATCCAAACAACACGTTCATCATAGAGACAGACTCTCAAACAAACCGAGGGTTCGTCAAGATTAACAAGGTGAGTATAGGAAGCGTCCTATATTCTTCTCCTTTAGTGTTACTTATTTGTTCTATGCTGCCCTGGTAATGATTTGTGGGGAGAGTGTTGACTGGTGGTGGGTGGGGACACCCTAAACATGGTGCAGACTGCAGGAGGCTCCACTTTTGGGCTCAAGCTCTGTGCCTGTGCAGTGCTCACACACACCTATCGTCCTGCCATTGCCTTTACCCCCCACCACCACCACCAGCTCCCTCCACTGGCTCTGCTGCTGGCTGCTTCTCCAGAGGAGCAGGTTCTGGCTAGTGAAGTAGGTCTTATGCACCATAAAGACAAAAACCATTTCATTATTTGAGTGATTTTGCAGCAGTGTTTCTGGACAAGAGAAAGCCAGCCAATGCTTCCATGGGCTGTGGTGGCAGTGGTGGGCTGTGAGGGGGCAGATTCTCCTCCCTGCAGGTGCTCTGGCCATTAGTGCCCTTTGCAAAGCAAGGTGCAAGTGTAGCCAGCGTGTCTCAATGTCAGCATGGAGACGCAGTTTGTTCCTGATGAGAGAAACATTAGCTGTGACCAAGCCAAGGACAGTGTGTGCTGCAGGAGGTGATACAGCCCATATGCTGAATGCTGGAGACAGGAATGTAAGGAACACTTTTTGCTGCGTCCATGAATTTCGATAGAAAAATTGCTGTCCCTTTGAAATTTAGTCTTCTCAAAGGTGCTTGGACTATGACTCCAGAAAACCTATTGCTCATTTTCCAAGGGGTGCCACACTGTGTGCATCCAGCTCGAGTACTGCCACCAGGTCAAGCACAGGCAGAGGCAGCGTTTGGTGGGACCATCTTCAGGATCAGCCTCACTTTTTCCCAAGGAGGCAATTGTGAGAAACTCCGTGGTGCAACAACCCTTGCATGACTTTTGGCACCCAGAGGTCATTTGAGGCCTTCTCATAAAGAGCTATAAATACTATTTCTGTAAACAGGATATTGTTATTAAACTTAGTCGAACAGGTGGCAACGTTATTATAAACTGCAGTTGCTGAGGAGGCCTCTAAACAGGCATATGGTTTCATTTAAATTGACCATTTCCAGTGTCATTTTCTCCTGACAGCTCTCCCTTATTTTGCCTGTATTTGGGATGCAATCTCCTCCTTGAGAAGAGGGGGTAGTTTCTCATTGGAGCTCCCCACAGTAACCAGGCCATTGTTTCAAGAACCCTTTTTCTTCTAATTCATCCAGGCTCTCGATTTTGAGACAATGCCTGTGTACAACCTGGTGATCAACGCCACAAACCCTGAACCGCTGGTGCCACACGTGCAGTACAACTCAAGCTCTACTACCAAGTTTAAAGTGGTTGTAAGAAATGTGGATGAGCCACCTGTTTTCCCGCATCCAGTTTACAAAGCAGAAGTGTCTGAAGACATTCCTGTAAATACCTTGGTCATGACGGTGGAGGCCTATGATCCTGAAAAGGATTCTGTACGGTAAAAAAGAGTGACTGTGATCAATTAATTGAATTTAGGGTTTCAAAAATTGTTCTAAAGGAGGTGCAAGGAAAATATGCCCAATACTTGGCATGTGGAAGAATACTGTTTTTACAGAAGTCTTATCTCCTAGTAGAAGGTGGATGTGTGGGCCAGCAACCCACCTGCAACAGACTGCTGGGTAGTGCTTTTCTGACCAGATTTCTCTCTGTGCTGTGACAAACATCAGCCTTGAAACAGGAAACTGCAAGGGAAGCAGGCTAATTTATATCTCCAGGAAAAATACAGAGCTGGACTGAGAATAACAAGGTTCCATGTCCGTAATGCTTTTATCAAAAAAATTGAAGCATATACTCTGTACCCCTGAACCAGTAGGAGAGTAGCTGCTTTTCATGTCATGCAGGAAACCACCAAAATGCACAACTTCAACTTTTTCTCCACCAAAATGCACAACCTCAAGTCCGCAATTGAAAAATAATTAATTTTTTGAAAAATAATTAATTTTATTTCTTAGCTGTCAGAGATGACACATCTCCTATTGTGGATGCAAAGCTCTGTGCAAGACAACTCCTGTGCTGTGTTGCATGGTGTAAATCTACCTTACACAGCAGATTCAGATAGAAGAATTCTTTGTGGCTTTTGCTGAACAATTCCCAGCTGGAATGCTGAACAGATCAACTCAAAACAAACAGTTCTTGAAATTTAACTAAAATTCAGCTAAGCACCAAGTGGTTGATGGAGTTGCACAATAGGACTCTTAGGCCTCCTGTGGATTCTTATTCCCAGAGATTTCTCATCTGGCTTTCTACTTGTGCCTAACTTTTGGGAACTTATCATGTTTGGCCTTCTGTCAAACGAGTTTGAAAGTGAGCCACATAGTCCAGAAGCTCTGGGGAATGATGACAGAGACACATGACAGGAATTCAGATATACATAAACCACATTTCTGCTAAAAATAAGTTAAAGGGCATAAAATAAAAAGTATAAAAAGTAGAAGAGGTACAAGCATGCTGTTTCTACTGTAAAGGGTACTGAAAGAACAAAAACATTGAATGAGAAGATTGGGTCACTTCTACTCAAGCAAGTGCCTGTGCTTTAACCAGTTCATATGTTCACGGTTAAAATTGTATAAGCAAATACCCAGGGACCTTAGTGATTTTTTAAACAGTGATATAAACACAATTATGTGGTGATGCTTAAAGCACTCTGTGTTCCAAGGCTGCTCCAATGATAGTTAGAGGCTGCTCCAGAGCAGCAGAAGATAATCACCATAGTTCAGCTGGGGGTCCTGGTCCCTTCTCGATCCACAGTAGGGTGCCTGGCTGCACTGGCCCCTCTGTCCCCCAGCCCTTGGCTTGTGCCCTCATCAAAGTCAAGATGTGGGAGATATGATGGGGTGAGATGAATGTGGGGTTTGGACAAATCACACTTCTGGACTAAAAGCTCAATGCCATCCCAGGTTCCCCATTTAGAAGGAAAGTGGAATTACAAGCACACAGGCTGCAGTAGCGATGGCATTTCCGTAGTTCTGCTCCCACTCTTATTCTGGATCATTTCAGCCTCTCTTCCTCTCTCTGTGTCTCCTGGTTGGCTGTAGTACTGTAGTACTGCAACTCTTCCAAGAGCCCTCTCTTTGAGTACAACCGAAATCAAGCTTCTTACATAAAATCAACAAATAAGTATTTGCTATGTCAGACTTTTTCCCAATTTGGAACCGTATATGTGATTTTTTTCCCCCCTATTTCTTTCCAAAGATACTCCTTGGAAGGTGATGTGAGAAAATGGCTGAGAATTGATCCAGCCACTGGGCAGGTATACACTAATTCCCCTTTGGATCGAGAAGCAGAAGAAATATACTCAATAGAGGTTGTTGCATCAGAAAAAAGTAAGTGATGAAACAACTAAATAGACACACAGAGGAATCCCCTGTCCTTACTCTTTAATGAGGAATTATCATACCTACCATGACTAAACCCATGAAAAGTACTGGGACATGTAATCTCAGATATACATCCTGTGGTATATCCTTAGAAGTATATATTTCTTAAGAATTTAAATTTCTTGCAGAAATCTTGATGCTGTAGATAACAAGGATTAAAATAGCTTTCATGAACTTGGGTATGGTCTTATATTTGCTTGAATAACATATAGAGAAGATTTAAATTTTTTCACTGTTTCCACTGTTTTCAGTATTAATATTTTCTGCCACTTTTTTCTCTACAGCTATGAAGATTTTAATGTTTCTCTTAGGTATGCTTAGGCTTCCTGAAAACATACCTGGAGAGTAGTTTGTAACCTTCTGCAGAATTTTTAATTTTATTATAATTAAAACTAATATTCTGTCAAATCTGAAATATATTAGGACTTCTAGTTCCAGCCATTAAAAACTTTCAATTTTGGCTTGCATTCCCTGTATATAGAAGAGGGGTGGGAAACTCAAGGCATTTCATGCTTAAGAGTGCTCCAAAGAGCACTGGTCACTTTGGATGTCACTGCTTGCCAGACATGGTGGATATGACAGATTACTAGATATGATCTGCCTCCTTTCCCTTCCTAGTGTTCTGTAGTCAGCAAGAGCTGGTGACAAATAAACCATGCTCGTTAAAAAGTAGTGGCAGCTACCACAAATCCCTCAGGACCTCCTGAGACCTTGTCTCTGCAACCTTCAGCCAGAACACCACCCCTCACTGCCTGTCTGACCGTGTACCTCTGTGACAGCTGCAAATGCAACAGCCCAGAGTGTAAATCCAAGATGTGCAGGTAACTTTGCATTCTGTTGAACTCGACAGATAACGCAGCTCAGAAATCCAAAGCACCCTTGATTCTACACTTACTCGATGTGAATGACAACCCTCCAGAAATAGCTACAGATTATCCTACTTTCTTCTGCTACCCGGTCAGTGGAGGAGAGAAAACTCTTATTCAAGCTACTGATGCTGATAAACAGTATTTTTATTCAAAATTTACCTTTTCCCTTGCGGATGAGATGAATACAAGAAATAATTGGGAAATCTCAAAATTCAATGGTAAGTTAACACAGCCACTCTTACAGTGATATGGAACTCACTTGGTACTCTGGTGAATATGAAGAATTACAGAATTCCTTTTCACTCTTATTATTACATAACCAGTGTTCCATGTAGAAAAAAACTGGGTTGTTGAGAACAGCAAAGTCACTAATTATTTTTTGCATGAGTTAAAACCTGGTATGTTGCAAGCTGTAATTTCATGAGTATTTTTGACAGAAAAAGCATGTAGATATGAAATACAGGTGTGTTTAATGAACACAAATCACTGCTGAAAAAGAAATAGTACAGAAATGTACAGTTTGCAAACTGTACATTTCTGAAATTTCATATGCAAAAGGAAGTCCTGCCTCACAAAGTGAATGGAGCTTTTAGAAGGGGACAGTAAGCACATGAATAAGGGCTTGGCTGATAGAGTCTGTCTGAATTAATGAAACATGATTGATGAATTATTCCACTAAAGAAAGCTGGGTTGTCACAAATTTAAAGTTATGAAAGAATAAACAATAATTTAAAACTCAGGACTTGGAGTAAACAGTCAGCTCTTGTAGTGAAGGGAGTTCATGTGTGGTTTTCCAAAGGTTTTTTCCTGGAATCTGCATAATTCAATACACACGGGTGTGCAATGAGGAGGAAAAGTTTACTCATTATACAAAGTTATTTGAGTAGGAACCAAGCGTGATAATTTCAGAACTTTCTTCCAAGACTGAGTTGGTTGAACAATAAAATTCACAGGTGCCAGTGACTGCAGGACTCCCAAACTCACTTTTGAAATCATGGGTGCTGAGCTGGCCACTATGAGTCGGGAAGGAGACCTGTAAGCAGCTCTATGGAAATGTGAGATCTATTTATCAGCAGTATTCAGAAAAACAGATGAAATATTGAGGATTACCAGGAAACAACCAGAAAAGAAATCTGAGGACATTGTTATGTCTCTGTATAAATCCGTAATTTCTTCAAGTTTTGAACTCCAGTCTCTCTATCTCTGTAAAAATGCAGCATAACTGGAAACAGGTTTAGATAAGGTGACAAGGATAATCAGAGTTAGAGTGGCCTGATATAAGGAAGTATATAGGAGCAGCAAAATAAGCTGCTACTTCTTATCTTGGAAGATGGTAGGGAAAAAAATACAATAGAGAGATATAAAACTTTGAATGCTATGGTCAGGGTGGCCAAGGGTTCATCCTTTACTCTCTCTTCCAGTGCACAAACCTGGGACCCTCAAGTGAAGCTTTTGGACTTATTTCCTGTGCAGATAGAATGAGGAGGTAGTTGACTTGGGAACTGGCTGTTGCAGGGTGTTGTCTATGCAGAAGTTTTCTACAAGTTCAAAGCAAGAAATTACATCTTGCTCAAGAAGTCCCCGAGCTGAAAATGTTTAAAGGGTGAGAGGGCATTAGGAGAAATAAAATACATGCTTGCTTTTTCATTATAATCTCCATTTACTCTGGAGACAAGATTCTTACATCAACAGACCTTTGATCTGATCCCGGTGGCCATTATCACCTTTTCCAGTTTTCAAAGAGTCTTAGATGTGACAGTGTAAGTTCACTGGAAGGATGGTCTGACCTACATTTCCTTGGGAACAATTTAAGATGATTATGGTCTCTATGAGCATAGGGGATTATTCCTGGTCTAGATGGGATGCTATAAGTGTAGTGCTACCCAGATTTGGCCTGGTGTAGAAATTAGGAAGGAAATTTTATAGACATTATTCTGAAGGCCAGATTAGGCTTCTGGATAGTCCCTTTTTACTTAATGTCTGCAAACCAAAGAGATCTTGGAAGACATAGTGGAAAACAGGAATTATTAAGATGTGCAAAGCAGCCTTAAAAAAAAAAGAACATTTGCAGATGGTATGAATGTTGAACTAACTTTCCTTCTTGTGCTGACATGAATGTCCCATTTCCTACTTACAGCTACCCATGCTTACCTGTCCCCGAAACATGCTAACTTTGAAGAGAAGGTGTATGATGTTCCAATAGTACTTAATGACAATGGAAATCCGGCCTTGCAAAACAAAGTGAATCTTAAAGGTATTCTGTGCACAGAACTATTAGCTTAAAGACAGAAGTTACATTTATAAATAACCAAATGTGACTACTAAACTTGTCATTAACCTCCTGGCGTTTCCTTTTGCAGTAAGCATCTGCAAGTGTTCCAGTGAAAATTCATGTTTTATTGAAATAAACCGTGAGCACTCCTGGCCAACCCCTGGTCAGGCAATTGGGATTCTCCTTGCGGTCCTGCTAGTCATTGGTAAGTCACTTCTTCTTGGTTTGGAGCCAGATATCTGAGATATGATGGTGCTGCTGCTTTTCTGACCCTAATTCTCTTGTTGGGTGAAGATTTGTCAGGCATGTTGCAGAATGAATGAAAGAGGGAAAATCCCATGATTGTGTATCATGTTGGCTGCAAACTTCTAAGCTTTTGTTGTAAGAAAAACATCCAAGGGCACAACAACTTGCTAGGACAGAAGAAACAGCTGAACTTGTAGCATATTGTCATTTCATTGCTAATTACTGTTCTTTGCCTGTCAGGGAGGGGATTTGAGCTTTGTCTTGGGAATCTGGGTTACAGCGAAAATAGTGAATCTTCCTACTTATGATATCTGTACCTCTAGCTTACAGTTATCATGTTGTTCACCTATTTCAGCTTTGCAGGTTTACATCATTCATATTCATTCTAAAACTGATAAAGAGGAAATAAATTTATATACAGTGTAACAAGCTCATCATGATTTTAAATGATCAAACTATATATTACATATGTATATATATGACACTTTGCCATCTGGTCAGATCCTAGGGGAAAACTTTTCCTTTGGGGCATCTGATCCTGCCCAGCAGTGCCTTGGGTCCATGCTCTTGGTCCCATGCTTGCACGATCCTTCCTCAAAACTGCTTCTGTTCAAGAGGTAAAGCACTGTGGATATTACAGTGCAGTGTCATGGCCCTTGCTGGGACATCTTTTCAGAAAGTTTACTCTTCCCTTTACAGACAAACATTCTCTGTTTTTCAGGTGCCATTTTAGCTGGTGTGTTTTGCCACATGAAACACAAAGAGAAAAATGAAAAGAGCCATCCCAAAGATGCAAAAGATAAGGCTGAACTCAACAGACTGGCTTAATGACTGTTGCATCAAGAGACCAAACCACCTTCTGGGTTGTGAATGAGTGAACTTTGAAGCTCCCAAAGCCCAGAGGTACACTATCACAAATAGGATAAAACCATGCAAAACTAGACTCCCAGGGGTTTGGCCTCACTTTTGTACCTAATACTATCTAGTCACAAAACATAAAAATATATGTAACCTTCAGCAGCAGCCATTAATAAATATATCAGCTTTGTCTGAAGTGTTAACTCATGACAACACCAAATGCTGAGCTCCTTCAAGGATCTATACATGGGACCAGTCCTCTTCATCTGCCAGCTGAAGTAAATATGGACTTTACAGAGGACTACATTTTGTCGACCTGCACATATTTGTCTCTTTCCAGCTCAGTAAGTCACTGAAGAGCAGACTGGGGAATAAAGTCCTATGCTACATTTGAAGATACCCCATGAAGTTGTGGGAATCTCTGACCCCCAGCAAAGGAGTTCACAAACTTATTACAATCTGTAATATGCCCTGGGTCATGCCTGCTTACATTATGCTCAATTTGTTTTATCAATGTGACATTTCAGTTTTTCTTTTTTGATATCCCACAGAGTAAAACCAGTTTGTGAAGCGCCATGGCCTTTCATTACAATATCCAAGTTAAAAAAAAAACAACTATGCTGAGTAATATGCAGTTTTATCTTACTTCTGCAAATATTGCTCTTGTCCGCTACACATAAGAATAAAAATGTTCTTTAAAGATTTTAGTCCCTGCTTATTTTATAAAGTAATTAAAAAATGAGAAAGTGCATAAGAGCAAACCATTCCTGCTTGGTTCTCTGTTGTATTTAACCCTTACTTTCACAAAGTACAGATTAAAAAGTGCTCTCAGGACAGAGTGATATGTGTCCAGCTGTTTCAGATGCAATGACTGCTGGAGCCACTTCGATCCTAGTTACAGTAAAATGTATTTGAAGCCAGGGTGACACTCAGAGAAAAAAGTCTTTCTCCTGACAGCATGCCTATAGAAGGGCATTTTTGGTGACAGTTTGAGGAAGGCTTTTCTTTTAAGCTATAAATAAAAGCTAACAAATATTGTGTTAAACTGGAAAGATAATATACTTTTGAAAGCATTCAAGAAAAGGTCGTATGGAAAAGAGTATATTTGTTTACCCAGGATTTTTTTTAATGGCTTTTGCATGCAGCAGAGAACTAGAAAGAAAACAGCACTTTTTTGGTAGCATTGCATTTGTAATAGGTTTTCCTAGAATGCTGCCAGCAAAAACTTTGCTTTTGGGCTTCAGCAACACAACACAATTGTTGTACCTCTTACCCCAGCTTCCCCAGCTGTTGGAGCTCTGTTATTTGCTGGGGGGCTCACTGCTGGAATGTATTTATTTTATGATGGGAATGTAATCCTTTATATTTGGAAAGTATGACATTCAGTTACATCAGTGTGTCCAGGGATTAAGATTAGTATATTGTTTAATAAATAAAGGAGACAAAGTTCAGCAGTCATTGTATTTGTGTATACCAAGACGGCTTTATCTGAAGACGGGGAAAATGTGCAGAAGTTCCCCTTTGCTCTATGTCCCTGATCTCTCTTTGTGTTTGCTAAGTTTACTCAAGTGCATGTCCTATTTTGAACATTTTTTTTTTCTGTAGAAGGGTCAAAAAATTTCTTTCCTCATTTACCTACATTCAGGACTGGTTTGACAGCAGGACCTTGTCCCTGTCCCCAGCCTAACATTGCCCCTGTTCCTTGTGTCTCGTGGGCTAATTCACTGCACCCTCTCCTACCTGCCCACAGACTGGTGGAAAGCAGAGCTCCTCAGACAAGCAAAAAACTTCCCCCTCCCCAGGGTCTTAAACACATTTTCAGTCTTGAATACTTTCAGTCTCAGTGCATTGGGAATCAGCCCTCCTGCAGCTATTTACTAAATGTTGTTCACATGTGGTAGGACAGTCTGAAGGAAATCACCTTGAGATGTTCCTCCTCTGACATCTGGCATCAAAGCAATGGCCCCTTGACAGCCCACACCTCTGTGTCCATCAGAGCCCAGTCCTGCAGAACCCTGACTGCCTCAGCACCCTCTGCCCCCTTCCCCAGCCCACTTGCCAAAAGCCCCCTGTGTTCAAGGGACTTGGGTTGTTCACACTTGCATAGGCATAGCCAAGCAGTGCAGCTGCTGGCTAACCTGTGCCTGGGCACCCACTGCTTCTTAGTGCTTCTTGTACTGTTCAAACTTCAATGAAATGAAAAAGAAAAAGAAAAAGAAAAAGAAAAAGAAAAAGAAAAAGAAAAAGAAAAAGAAAAAGAAAAAGAAAAAGAAAAAGACCTCATTTTCAGCCCTGACACAAATATTCTCATTTTTTTTCACCCTCCTCCTGCCTGCTTGTCAGGACTTCTCCCCCAGCCCTCCAGGGTTTATTTAACCCAGTCCTGCTCTGGCTCCTTCATTGGTTCAGTCTTTTTTGGGAGCCAGACAAAAGTTCTCACCCAGCCTTAACTCTCCCCCTGCGGCAGACTGCCCCTGCCTCCTTTCCAGAGGACAAATTCAGTTTTCTTTGGGTCTCTGGAGAGGAAGAGAAGCAATAGTTATTATTTTTCCTTCCCACCATGCTTCCCACCAGCTCCAGCTGGTTCCCAGGTCCCTGCAGGAGTGGCAGACATTAGGACATTTTGCCCTTTTGTGTTACACTTTTGCTCTGAGTTCAAGAATCAGCACTTCTTTTTGAGCTCCTCCAAATCTGGACAATGTCTTTTAGTCACTGCATCCTCCAAAGCTGTTTCATTGACACTTACTGGTAATAACTGACAACATATAAACTGAACTTTACATATAAAAGTGCAAAGCTACAGACAGTATTGAATTAAGAATTTTCTACAGACTTCCCCAAAAAAATAGTTGTCTGAAGTTGGCCACATTATTACTTTTTTAAACACCTTGGAAAGAACGTCCTTTTTTTTTCTTTTTTTTTTCCCCTTGAGTAATAGATAGTATATATTGGCATGATCTTCACACCAGAAAGAATAACTAGGAAGAAATTAGTAAGGTCTGCAAGCATTAATGCTGAAGTAGTGCTTTAAATATATGATACAAGAAAATGATAGAGGAGAGAAAGCTCTCCTAATTTATATCCACAAATTCTTAGAATAGCTTTATACACTGATAGGAGAAGGACAAATTTTGAAAACAACATTGATGGCTTTGGACTCCAGTTTTTGCCAAGAACAATATCACACAAGAAGTCCAGTGATGAAATCTGCTGAGAATATGTCCTCTGGCACTGCTCCTTTCCATGGCTCCTCCTCCAAGCATGCAGCATCTCATTAAAAGGTTTACAGACAGCAAAAGATGTTTCAGTGCTTTCTAATTCTTTTTTACAAGATTAGAGACTTATCAGGCTTTTGATTATCTCCAGGATTAATGGCATACATTAATTAAACTGTCATTATGCCTCTTTTTCCACCCTTTGTAAATATAAACCTGAAAAGTAAGAACAAGATTTTTATCTGGATTTATAGAACAAATGCCACAGAACAGTAGTTATTTGGGGTGAAAAATGTGTCCTGAATCCACATTTTGAAGGAGAATTCATCAGGCCTCACATGATCCAATGTACAAGGCTGTATCCACCATGTGCAGCTGCTGCTGTGCCTGTTGCTGGGGATAAAGCCGAGGCAGCCGCTGGTGGCAGGGGCATGGGTGGGGAGGGCTGTGTGCCAGCAGCACGGCTGGATGGATGTGCCATGCAGCTGGAGCCACTGGCACATGTCAGGGGCCAGACTCCCCCCAGATCTGGGGAATGCAGAGAGAAATGTGTTTTCACCCAAGAAATGGCTCTGCAGTGAGCTGTGCTGCTGCGATAGGCAAGCACCATGGGAAGGAGCAGAGAGGGAATTGAGACGGGATTAGGAAGTTGGCTGATAAAGAACAACTAGTTTTGGCTGAAAGCAGATGAGTCCTCTCCCAACCCCTCTGTGTAGCAGCTAATCCCAAATGCACCTCTCTAGGAGTTTGAGAAGACTTTATTTTAAAATAAATAAACACATTTATTCCCAGCGTTATTTTCCACAGACTTGCCAGAACTGGAAGCTGAAATTAGCTAATTGCTTATACAAACTAGAACAAGGAACAGATGTAATCCACAGAGTTACCACTGCTTCTAGACACCAGAGATCTTGTGCTCAGTTCTTTAAATAGGGTTCTAATGCCATTCACCCACTCACAGAAGTTCTCCTTCCCTCTTGATAGATTTTAGGTCTTAACAGAGGTTTCAGAAATTTGCAGCTTCAGTTGCCAGACAAAGTCCCAGAGCTACAAGTCTGTGCCATCAAGGGACCATCCTTTCCTCAGAATATTCTGTGATTCTGTGATCCTCTATGGACAGAGCTCAGGAAAAGGAAGCACCACAGGCTGTGACCAAAGGGTTACAATGATGTACCTGAGCATCCATTAGTGCAGTAAATTACTACAGAAACATTCAGCAAGATGGACAGCATGATCATGTTAAGGACCCTAAGCCAGGAAAAATGCTTCCAGTTTTTTGATTACATATTCCAAAAGAAAAAAACCAGAAGATTAGACAAACCAGCAGCAGCTCTTTGAACTCGTTGCTGGACAGCATGTTCCTCCACTGATAGTGAAAGACTGTACAGCACAGGGAGACAAACTGCTTGAGCCTGTTCTGTTTACAGCTTTGGGGCCAGAGATGGGTGATGGGTACAGCTGCAAAAAGATATTCTGCCACAGATGAGCTCCAGGGGAAGTGTCTTGTGTTTGCAGCTAAGATGACAGCTTTTATTGCCCACTTACGTCTGGTTATGACATCAGTATCAAAAGTGGGGGTTAAGTAAGCACCATCTCACCATTCCTGAATCATTTCATAATGCTGAATATGGTCAAGAAATGTGTTTCCACAACGTCCTTTTCCAGTTCACTCTTCCTCAGGACTACCACTAACATGAAATCCTCTAGGGATGTGTAAATCTAGCACATGATTCCTGGATCTCAGAAGTGAGAAGAAAGAAGGTGGGATATGGAGACCAGAGGAGATCTCTCTGGTGCATTAATCCCATCACCACATGAACAGAGCTGCAGTCCAGCTGCTGGCAGTCAGCATAGGCACACACCTCCTGTTGTTTCTCCACCTGCCAGAAACAGCCTCTTTGAAGATTTCATATCCTGAGGCTTTTGTTGAAGAACTACATGCCTACACTTGAATTATGTCTTTTGTTTGACAAAGATGAAATGATGCAACAGCTGAACACACAAGACATTTTCTCATGTGAGGTTCACAGAGGATTTATCCCATCCCTCTGTGCAGTGCAGTTGAGCTCACCTGTGCTGCTTGTCCTTTCCCAGCACAGTGACATGTCTGTGCTCACTCAGCACAAACAGGCCATTGTGGAAAAGCAGTGGAGGACTAGTAGTACCAGAATGATGCCAGTAAAGATTTACTGACTTTATTTATCTTGGTTATAACTCAAGAAGATTATTGAAATAACTTGTCCCAGCAAGCTGGGCAGACTAACAAGAGGTGGGTTCTGGGCTAGCTGCTGCTGTGTTGATTTCACACATTCAGTCTGGCCAGCGAAGGGTTACCTGCGGAGGTAAAGGTGGGAGCATCAGCAGGTAGAAGGAACAGGAAGGCAGCACCAAGCAAGACACATCAAAAAATGAGAGCAGAAATGTACTTTGAGCCCCAGCTGAGGACCCGAATGAGTGGACAGGCCTGAAGGCTGTGCAGCTCCTCAG